GTTGCCGACCTTGATGTAAAGAGCCTCGTCGACCTGGCTCTTCTTCCACCCGGCGCCGACCAGCACATCGTTGAGCGACAAGTACCACAACAGCGGCGACTGCTTCAGGCCGTACAGGCTCTTCAGCAGCTTGCATACCCGGCCGGTTCCGTCGTTGAAGTAGTCTGGTTGGGACATGTAGAGCACCCGCTCGAGCTTGCTCTGCAGGAAGGCGTTCTTCATGTCGAGCTGCATCAGGTTGAGGTTGAGGACGGCGACGATGCTGAGGAAGATCCTCCGCGTGACGTAGATGCCCACCGGCGCGAACGTCTCGTCGTAGTCGGCGCCGTACACCTGCGTGAAGCCCTTCACAACCAACCTCGCCTTCTCTTGCTCGACGGTGTTGTCGATGTGGTACTTCGTCGTCAACACCCACCGGTTCTTCATGATGTTCAGTCCTGGCGGGCGTTCGACCAGCTCCCACGTGCCCATGTTGATGAGGCTGCGGATCTCCTCTTCCATGGCGGCCTTCACCGCCGGGCCCTTCCAGCTCGCCAACGCCTCCTTCACCGTCATCGTTGAGATGTCCCAATGGTGCTCAGGGTCGGCCAGCATGTCGGGGTCGAGCTCCGGAAACTCCTCATCCTCCTCAGCATCGTCGTACAGCAGGTCGTCAGCATCACCGTCCACGTCGTACACCGTGGTGAAGGCAGCGGGGACGAAGAAGTCAGGCGGCCTCCGAAGTCGGCCTGAACGCCGTGGTCCCGGCAAGACCTCCTCAGCGTCCCCTCCATCGTTGCCGTCGTCGCTGTCCTCGACGTCCTGCTGCACCTCAGCCGGCGGCTCCCCTGTGGTCGGCTCCCTTCCCGACTGCCCGGTCGCCGAGTGTTCCTTGGTCGGCGTCGCTGGTACCTGCTCCACGCCCGGTGGCCAGCATCGAGGTACTCCCGGCACCACTTCAAGGCGATCTGCACGCCCGGCGAGCAGCACCGCGAGATGACAGTGAAGGTCAACAACACCATGGCGCGAAACTCCGCACGCAGGTCGGGGTGGTGCTCCCCCGGCGTCGCCACGGTCCCTCGGGCGAAGCCGATCAGCCCGGCCATCTCCAGCTGGGGCTCGATGGCTTCCTTCCAGGTGAGGATGTCTTGTCAACCAACGAGCAGCGGGGTGACCGAGATCCTGTCCAGCGTAAACTTGAAGTAGCCGTAGCTCGGTGCAATCCCGCCCGCCGTCACCTGGGTCGCCGACATCGGCGACAACCCGCTTCGACGCCCACCGGCCTCGCCCTGCGAGGAGCCTGTAGCCGTCGACGACTGCATCCCTTGTGCCTGAACGCCGCCGGCTTCACCGGCTTGTATCACACCTCGCTGCCTCGACGTGCCTCCCGCACCGCTGCCAACTTGGCCTCCACCGGCGCTGACGCCCATGTCGACGCCACCATCGTTGTTCACCGGTCGAGGAGAGGCAGGCCGAGAAGGGGGGTGCTCTGCCGCCCACATGGAGCGGAGTCCTGCCTCAACGACTGCCCAGGGTATCGCCCCGTACTCCTGGGCCTCATGGCATCTCCTCGCATCCTCCAGCTGTGCCTCCAGGGTGTCCATCACCTCGGCGTCACCTACGCGCATGCTAGTGACTGCACGGCTGTCGGTCTACGAACACGATCGATAAGTGCAAAGTCGGCTAGTCTGAACTACGTCGCGGTGTTCGATCCACGCTCACCGCACCATGCGGAGATAACTGCTGCAACGGGAGCTAGGCTACGGGCTAGGCACGGGTGCTCGTGTGATCTCTGCGTTCCTTAGTCGTTTGCTTGTGTGTTCTCTACTTGCACATTCACGGGGAGATTTTGCAAGAGTTTCACTAGCAAAGATTGACAACAATGGTAGCAACAACATTGGCATCACAGACTACATCAGAGCTAGCTAGGCTGCTGGTCGACCTCCAGCGTAGCATGGTCGACCATGCTCCAGCGCAGCAGCGCTCGCACCGCTCCAGCGTTGCAGAGTCGCGGTTCGCCAACGTTGCAAGTCCACGGTGTGCCAACGCTGCAACAAGTCGGCTGCACAGCGTTGCACCCGCAGGACAACGGTGCACCTGCTTTGAAGATGCGTGCAGCTGGTTGGTGCGCCGCTCCTCATCACGTGCACAGCGCAGATGCCTGGCAGACTCCACGCCAGCGACTGCGCCCACCAGCCACGTCGACCTCAGGATACCACCCCCGAGGTCGGCCTCGCAGACTCCACCCTGGCGACATTCGCGCACGACGCCCGGGTATCCTGGTCGACCGGGCAACTACGCCCGATCAACCAGCACAGTCCGTAGCCGGCCACCAATGCCCGGCGTCCCCAGTCCGGTGTCCAGGCGCCTAGGACGCCGTCTGAATCCCCAGGTCGGCGTCCAGATGCCCAGGACGCTGTGCAGACCTCCAGAGTGGCGTCCAGCCTCCCAGGACGCCGATCAGACGCCCAGGTCGGCGTCCGGGCCCCCCAGGACGCCCAGGTTGGCGTCTGGGCCCCCAAGACGCCCAGGGCGGCGTCTCAGGTTCTTAGGACGCCGTGCAGACGCCTAGGTCGGCGTATGGCCTTCCAAGACGCCGTGCAGGCGCCCACGACGCCGACCAGGCGCCCGGGTAGTCGTGCCGACGCCCAGGTCGGCGTCCAGCTTCCCAGGACGCCGTCCACGCGTCTAGGACGCCAACCAGGCGTCCAGGACGGCGTCCTCCTGCTCGGCGCCCTCCAGCTAGGCGCCCTTCAGCTCGGCGCCCTTGCAGTGGCCCCCGTGCCCACTGCTGCAGGTCAGCTGCAACCCCCGCACATCCGACCACGAGGTCGGCTCCGCCCAAGCGAGGACAGGGCCCGACAACACTCCTGTTGACACTCCCCTGCCGCGTTCACGCTTGGGCCCCCAGCCCACACGGCAGTATTGCTCGGAGAAAAGCTCAGCGGCGTGCACACAACACACAGCACGCCGGTCACCACACCAGCCATGCAAGAGGGCATGGCACCTACTGCTGCACGTCAACGTCGCCGTCGCCCACATCGGCCAAGCACACCTGGCCGATTGCGACGGAGCACTGGTTGAAGGCCGGATAGTGCAGCCAACTACAGCGGCGCTTTGCCAACTACATCCTCTGCACCCAGTTTTCCCACCCCTGGGCGCACGCCATTGGCTATGCTGCCTTTGTCAACGGCTCCAACAGGTGCGGCCCCCAACCCCACCCCCAACCCCACTCCCGCCCTCTCCCCCGCCCCTGCCCCTGCCCCCTCTGCTGCCTCTGCTGCCTGCCACTCCTCCTCACTCTCTCGTCCTCGCCCTTCCTTCACCTTCTCCCCACGCCCCGCCCCACCCACCCCACCCATCCCACCTCACCTCCACCCTCCCCCTCCCCTCCCCCTTCACGTCTCTTGCAAGGTATGTGTGTGTGTGTATGAATGTGCCGTAAGTTGAAATATACGCACACCACGTACTGTGGCCAGGTTAAGCCACATGGATAGTACGAACAGGACGCTTGGATCGATAAGCTGAGCTGAGTGGTGAAAAGGCCGGCTTGTGGCTTGTACATCTATGCTAGCTGCCCGAGACAGGTCGAGCCTGTGGGGCACATCTTCATCGGCCACGGCCGCACGGATTTGGCATCTCATCCCCAACGTTCACACAGATGATGTTGCATTTCGACAGCTAGATCTGCCGAACAACCGTCAGCTCGAGGAGCCAGAAGGTGGCTCAAGATGTGAAGAGAAGAGCCAACGAGTCGGCTACTAGCTCGTTCTGCAAGAAGTCGGCATAGTGGGATCACTGTCGCTGGCTTGGCTCGACCTGTTGATGAACTGAGCTGATGGGCAAAGTGAAAGAAGCTTAAGTGTTGGTATATTGAGAAAGAAGAGCAGTACGAACAGGGGCATGCAGTGAGTGACACAAGGTTTCCCCCCACCACCATTACTGGCTGACCGAGGTGGTTCCAACCCTATAATTGAGGTTGACCCAATCTTGTGAGGAGCCAAACAGTGGAGGGTTGGATGGACCACCAATGTTGCTCCCCAATTGTGATCGCGTGGGTTATGGAACCCCGACCAAAAGTTGGGCATCCTCCTCAATGTGTACACCGATAATCTGTGTGTGCACTTGAAGGTCTAGCCTTATACATGCTATAATCTAAAACATAACCCTGCTTTGTGCGTGGGCCAGTGCTCATGTGTACATACCATGAGTGGCATCTCCCGCACTTGCTGGCGAGCTGGAGCTTGGAGCCTCAAGTTATGATAATGCGACGCTGCTTCATTTGGGTGAGAGGGGGAGGTGAGAGTGCTTGTGTGCATACAAATTACAACCATCCTTGAGTGTAGACATGGGCAAAGAACAAAAACACAGTCTCTTTGGGGTCAAACCGGTTCTCCTTCAATTGAACTGCGTCCTATCTTTGGCCTGCTAATCGGAACGAACCAGACCAGGTTCGGCTTTATCTGGTTCGTCTGGCTGGATCGATGCCAGACTCCTGAGCCCTCGTCAAACCAATCTCCCCCTCATTGTCCTCCCCTTGTGGCATCTCCTGCCATTTCCTGCAGGGCGGCCTTTGAGCGGCGCATGGGGTGCGTGCTGGTGGACATGACGGGCAAGCCTGTCCCGGGCAAGGACTGGTACATGGACATGCGCTTCTGGTTCGACAGGCAGTACCCCTTTGACGCCATTCAGAATGCCGCGGATTGCACAGATGGCAGGAGCCACCCGTCGTACGGGCCGTAGGCAACCCGCATGAAGGATACGGGCGATAAGATTCTCACCCCGCCTTATGTGCTCAACAATGGCCATCCAGGCATGGGTGAGTGGACGGGCAGGGGCATGGGGAGTGGGCTCATGTCAAGCATGTTCACAGTGGAACGTGTCTTACCCTTGTGCTCTCTCCTCCCTCATTCCTGCCCCTCCCTCTTATTATCGACTAAAAAATTGTTCGACTTTTGAGTCGACTAAGAATCAACTCCATGTCATCTATTCTCGACCCGCTTTCTTGTTGCAATCCAGCCATGACATTCCCGGTCTTCAAAGGCAAGGTGACGACAGAGTCGCTGCTGCGAGAGAGGCAGGTGATGTTCATGGGCGTGATCGCGGCGTGTGTGGACTTCAACCGTCTCGCCGAGTTCATCATTCTCGAAGTGCTCCATCAAGGTGCGCTTTACCATCTCGCCATCTCACCATCTCGCCATCTCGCCATCTCGCCATCTGACCGTCTCACCATCTGACCATGAAAAATCTTATTGGCCTCGTTAAGAAAGCTGTACAGTCATAAATAACAACACCAACATGACCACGTGTCACGCGCACCTTGATGGTGAGATAGTAAAGCGCACCTTGATGATGAGATGGTCAAGAGCACCTTCATGGTGAGATGGTCAAGAGCACTTTGATGGAGAGAGCTGTACAGTCATGCAGGTGATAGGCCTGTCACTCGAATTTTTCAGTACGGTTGGGGGGGATTGCTAGTGTTCCAGCAACTTGATTGTGCTCAGCAAGGTAATCTGCTGGGCACGCAAAGCTTCACTGATGAGATTCAAAGCCGCTACCTTCCTTGCTTGTGTTCTTCTTGTGCATTCGTCTCCACCTTTCCACGGTCTTCCGGAAAGTTGAAGCCTGCGTGAAAGTTCCTGCATGCAACGCAAGGTGCTTGCATGCTGATCCACTTGCACGCTTGGTGCGCTGCGCTATCCAAACGAAGTGTTCCCCTCATGTTGCTGCAGGCGCGGAGTATTCTCTCGAGGTCTATGATGTCACCCCCACGGATCCCCTCCCTGGCTCCTCCACCCAGCTTGGTCCGCGCTTGTTGTACGGGGTGGGTGACTTGCCTCAAGGCGACCCCATGCAAGTGGCCAAGCTCATTCCACCTTCCAACGAATCCATGTTGCAGCCGCATTGTCACAAGTCCGTGCAGCAGATCAACCTGACTAACTCCTTACGCACCTACCAGCTGTGGTGCCGGTGAGTTGCCTCTACTTCTCTCACCTCACAGCAATTCCTCCTCCCCCATCACAACCTCCCTCTCACTAATTCATCACCAACCTACCACCTCTGATACCAGTGAGTCGCGTCTAGGGATGCCCTGCTCGTCCTTCATAACCGCTCCCCTTCCTCTTCCACGTTTTTGTTCGAGGGGTGCACTTCGGCTGAAGAGTCTTAGCTTGGGGTGCATGGCGATTGTGACTGCCATTTCTGCATCCATCAACCGCTTTGCGGCTCTCAGGGTACTGCACTTCTCTGCCGGCAGCGTCACGAGTCTCCTGAACACGTTGACCTTGCTATAGTCTCTTTCAAGCCACGAGCTGAACTTTAAATAACTCAAGGTATTGCCTGAGGATTTAGGGAATCTAACGTCCCTGAAGTTGCGATGGCTGAATTGTTTGTCTCTGTCAACGCTACGGCTACCTGATTCGATCGACAACCTTTCTTCTATGGTGGCCTTGAAGATTTGGGGGTGCGGGATTGCTCTCTCACGCGCATCACTTTGGCCCATTTGCAGGCGCTTGAGACCCTATCGTTGTGTGAGGTGACAGGATTGTGATGTCTTCTTGAAGCACTTGGCCAGATGCAGCGCCTCATGGTCATCACCATGAAACAGCGCATTGATATTACGTTGCTGGACGATGTGACGTTGTCAGCGCTTCGGCTTCAACCTGAGTGGGATGAATTTCAAACGGCTTCGTGGATGCGTCGCTCTCGTCACCAAGCTTCAGGAGCTTTCCCTTGACAGCCTCTAGAAACCTGCAGCAGATGTCTGATGCCCTAGCCCACCTGTCTTTGCTCGATGACTTGGAAGTTCACACATGTCCGAGACTCACTTATCTGTCAAAGGGCATGGGGAACGGGCTGCACAATCTACGCAGCCTGCATCTGCTGTGCTGCCGCGCCCTCACCATCTCACTCCATCATTCCCCCGTGCTCACATGTCTCCGTATTTTGGGAGCAAAAACTTTAGAGGCTCTCTGCCATACGTTTTCGGTTGCTTGAATGGCCTCAGAAAACTTTCTGTCGAGAGCTTGTCGCATCTATCTTCGCTTCTTGCATCCATCTCTCACCTTCTGGCATTCATGAGCTTGGAGTTGGAAAACTGCTTGCAGATAACGGACCGACCGGAGGGGATTAGGCGTCTGGGGGCTCTTAAGGAGGTCATGATCATATGGATGGACGGCCTTGTATGTCTCTCTCCATCCTTCTCTCGGCTCACGTCTCTACAGTCTCTCAAAATTTGCGAGGCCGTCCATCCATGTGATTATGACCTCCTTGAGTGCCCTCAGGTGCCCAATCCCCTCCGGGAGGTCCGTTATCTGCGGGCAACTTTCCAATTCAAGGCTCGTGAGTGCGAGAAAGTGAGGGACAGAGGCAGAAAACAAAAACAGTTCCGACAAGCTCACGACAGAAAGTTCCCTGAGGCCATTCAAACAGCCGAACGCTTGGCAGAGAACCCTATGCGCCTAAAATTCAGATAGACTTGAGTTGGGAGAATGATGGGTTGAGATGGGTGAGGGCGTGGCAGTACAGCAGATGCAGGCTGCGCAGATTGTGCGGGCCGTTCCCCATGCTGCTGGCAGATCAGTGAGCCTCGGACATGTGTGGACCTCCAAGTTCTCGAGCAAACACAAGTGGGCCAAGGCATCAGGCAGCTGCTGCAGGTTCGGGAGGCTGTCGAGGGAAAGCTCCTGAAGCTTAGTGGCGAGAGCGACGCAATCAGGAAGCCGCGTGAAATTCATCCCATTCAGCTTGAAGCTCCGATGCCCTGACAACGTCACATCGTTGGGTAGTGTGATATTAAGGCACTGTTTCGTTGATGGCCTTGAGGCGCTGCATCTGGCCAAGAGCTTCAAGAGGACATTTCAATCCCATCTCCTCATAGGGCGAAAGGGTCTCCAGCACATGCAGACGTCCCAAAGTGACACGCTGTGGGAGAGCAATCAGGCACCCCAAATCTTCAGGTCTACCAGAGAAGAAAGACCGTCGATTGAAAACAGTTCAGCCATTGCGGCCAGGGACGTCAGATTCCCCAAATCCCCAGGCAAGGTCTTGAGTCTTTTGAAATTCAGCACGAGGCTCGAAGAGACTATAGCGAGGTCAACATATTGGGGAGACTCGTGACGTTGCTGGCAGAGAGGTGCAGGATGCTGAAAGACGCGAGGCGGTTGATGGATGCAGGAATGGCAGTCACACTCGTCGTGCACCCCAAGGTAAGACTATCCAACCGAATGCACCCCTTGAACAAAAAAAACCGCTCCCAAGGTTAGGCTCTTCCTTCATAACCACTCCCCTTTCCCTTCCCCTTAATAACCACTCCTTTTACTGAAGGTCCCTCATTTTAATTAAAGTTCAATTAACTTTTAGGCATCTTAAAGCCAGACCCTGTCAATGTTGCGCCCTATGCTATCAGCCTCCATTCCATTCCATCAGCTCCCTTTTGCCCCTAATGTTACCAGCCTCCACTCCATCCCATCGGCTCCTTGTGCCCCCAACGTGCCTCCCCCTATTCCCAGATTTCAGGGCTCGGACAAGGCCCGCAACATGACAGCTGTGTTCCTGGGGGTGATCATCCTCGTGGTGGCGGCACTGCTGGCTGCTATCGGCGTGAGCGTGACCATCAACACGCGGAGGCTGCGAGAGAAGACGACCGCATTGGAGATGCTCAAGGGAAGGGCGGAGGTGGCGGAGCGTAATAAGGGTGTGTTAATTGCCAACACGGCACATGAGCTGCGCACCCCGATCTATGGCATGGAAGGTTCATGGCAATGAGGTGCATGAGATGCATATGGGGAAGTCTCAAAACTTTGAGAGATTCTTTTGTTTGTTTGTTTTGTTTGTTTTTTCTCGTTCCGATTGTGGCCAATTCCTGGGGCACTAATCAGGTTGGGTTGAAACCACTTTAGGAGGTGACGAGATCACAGTCACCGTGCTGTTTTCAAGTTATTCTAACCTATAGGTATTCACATCCTAATCTTTGCAAATCACCACTTGCTGTGCCAACCACCTGACAGGCATGCTGAAGCAGCTGGACGAGGGGGGCCTGGACTTAGGGCAGAGGGAGGACGTGGGGGCAGCAGGGGAGGAGGCGGAGCGGATCCTGAGGCTCGTCAACGCCGTGCTGGATGTGTGCAAGGCAGAGGCAGGCTGCCTGCACCTGGAGAGCGTGCCCTTTGCCCTCCGCCCCTGGCTTCGTGACGTGCTGCACCCTCATGTGCAGGCCGCTCAGGAGCGAGGCCTCGAACGTATTCACTCTCACCCATGTATCACCCGATTCTGCTTGGTTTCCTTTCCTCTTCATGCATTTGACTAATTCTTGCTTTTTTTGTTTTTAACCAAAGGTGTCTGGTTTTTCTACTTGTGACCGTGGGTGCGTGTCTAGTGACATGGTGTATGGACGGCGATGTGCCCAGTGTGCTGGTGGGGGACTGCTTTCGCCTGCAGCAAGTGGTGGACAGAATAGTCGGTGAGTAGATGAGTTGAATTCAATGACTGGCACTAGATGTGGGAGAGGTTGGATGGGTTTGGTCACGCATAAGGACCAGACGAGTTGGGTCACGCTGGCCTCAAGTCGAGTGGAGTTGAGTTAAGTCGAACGTGACGCTCGCCCTTGGTGAGTCGGCATTCTGTCTACGTCAAGGCTATCTCGAGACAGTTTTTTTTTTCATGCCAGGCACCCTCAACGTGGTGGTGGGTGGAACCGGGGCGAAACAACCCACTAGAATTGACTTATGTCGGCTGACTGATGTGAGGCCGGTGATGCACTTGTACTAAATTTACAACGATAAGAAGAGAAGAGAGTAGGCGACTCTCCCAATCGGTTGACGTCGTAACACCCAGTCAGCAGCAGTGTGCTCACACGCTGCTGTTAATTCACAATACTCTCAGTTTAAGGTCAGTCATACACTAGAGATGTGCACAGGTCCGAGCCAAGCCTTCTTGTTTTGAGGCTCGAGGCACGACAAGGCAGCCTGCTGACGAGCCGAGTTAGCGACTGACCCGGTCCGTGTCTCGTGTGCTGAAGGTGAGCCGGCTGAGCAAGGACAAGCAAGTTGTCTATATTATGGGGAAAGTGAGCTGAATGGATCGCATGGGATTGTTTTGGAAATTGATTTGGAGGACATATTCCTTGAGAGCTGCAATGTTCTATCTATCCGCCTTCGTGTGCATTTCCTCCTCCCTTTGGACTGAACGGGTTCTTGCATTTCAAACATGGGTTGAACAGTAGGACTTCTCACGTGCTTGTGCTATTGCTCCTCATATTCCTTTGACATTCCCCATTGCCTTGCTGCTCCCCCCAGACAACACCATCAAGTTTACGGCCAGCGGAGGCGTGTGTGTGCGGCTGCAGTGCCTTCCCCCCGACACCCACATCCCCACCCACCTGCTCTCCCTCGGCTGCCTCCTCGCTCAACCCACACCTGGCTGCTCCTCGTCTGCCGTCGCTGCTGCTGCTGCTACTGGTGCTGCCACTGCTGGTGCTGCCACTGCTGGTGCGGCCACTGCTGATGATGCCAGAGCGGCTGTGCATCAGAACGGAGTGGGAGAGCGGCTGTTTAGGATGGCGTTTTGGGAGCAGATGGGGCAGCGAGGGCTGGCGAGGGCGGTGACGGGCGCATGCAATAAACGGGTGTTCCAGAGAAGCTTGTCTGCGCAGTGCCTTCGGTGCTACTGGCGCATGCCCCTTGTGCAGGAGGGGGGGTCGGAGCAGGAGGAGAGCGAGGAGAGGGGGGAGAGCAAGGAGAGGGAGGAGGGGAAGGAGAGGGAAAGTGTTCAGGAACAGAGTGATGTGTATTAGGAAGGCAGGGAAGATGGGGAAGGTGAGAGGGCAGTGTCAGATGCTAAAGGTGGAGGAGTAGAGGTGGACGACGTGGGGTGTCGTCGAGTCAGAGGGGCACCGGTGATCCCTCTCCAGCACGGGGTGGAGAATGGTGGAGAGCATTTGTCGGTGGTAGGAGGCAGAAGCAGCGAGAGGGTGTGCAGTGAGTTGAGTGAAGGAAGGGGTGGTGCTGCATCATTGAGTCTTGAAGATGAGTGTGGGCGTAGGGGAAAGGGGCCATGTGAACATGGAGCAGGAGTGCGTGGGGGGGACGTTGTGAGTGAAGCAAGGAGGACAGCACCAGGGGGGGGTGGTATGGGTTGGTGGAGGGGAGCAGTGGGGTGGTGGTGGCATGGTCAGGGAAGAGAGGAGGGAAGGGAGGCGGAGGGTGGAGTTGGCAAGCGGTGTATGGTGCTGGTGGCATGTGAGGACACGGGGTGTGGCATCGCACAGGAGGAGCAGCACGACGTGTTTCAGGCGTTCATGCAGGTGAGCCCTGCCCCTCATGCAGGTGAGCTCTGAGTATGTGCGTAGAGGCACTAAGGCGTTCATGCAGGTGAGTTGTGCCCCTCATGCAGGTGAGTCCTGCCCCTCATGCAGGTGAGTCCTGCCTCTCATGCAACTCGCCTCAAGCCACACACCTGATGCAACTCGAATCGAGGACTCGATGGAGAGGCGACATTTACCGCTCAAGCAGACGCACTAAAGAGGCACACAGTCGTCCATTTGCACTCTAGTTTCCCAACACTCTGAGTCGCCCGTTCTCTTGCTTCTCACTCCACCCAACCCATCAGACCCGTGCGCATGGAGGCAACGGCATGAGCCTGCACTTGTGCCGACAGCTGGTGAGTCATTTTCAACAATTGCCATGTTTTGTCAACAGTCACCATGTCTTATTAATAGTTGCCATGTCTTATGAACAGTTGCCATGTCTTATTAATAGGTGCCATTTCTTTTACCAATTGTCAAGCCTTATTAACAGTTACCATGTCTCATTAATAGTTGCCATGTCTTATGAACAGTTGCCATGTCTTATTAATAGTTGCCATTTCTTTTACCAATTGTCAGACCTTAATAACAATTGCCATGTCTTATTAACAGTTGCCATGTCTTATTGATAGTTGCCATGTCCTACTAACAGTTGCCATGTCTTATTAACAGCTGCCATGTCTTATTAACAGTTGCCATGCCTTATTAACAGTTGCCATGTCTTCTTAACAGTTGCCACGTCTTATTAACAGTTGCCATGTCCTATTAACAGTTGCCACGTCTTATTAACAGTTGCCATGTCTTATTAACAGTTGCCATGTCTTCTGAATAGTTGCCATGTCTTATTAACTGTTGCCATGTCCTATTAACGGTTGCCACGTCTTATTAACAGTTGCCAGTTCTTATTAACAGTTGCCATGTCCTATTAACAGTTGCCATGTCTTATTAACAATTGCCATGTCTTATTAATAGTTACCATGTCTTATTAATAGTTGCCATTTCTTTTACTAATTGTCAGGCCTTATTAACAGTTGCCATGTCTTATTAACAGCTGCCATGTCCTATTAACAGTTGCCATATCTTATTAACAGTTGCCATGTCTTATTAACAGTTGCCATGTATTCTTAATGATTGCGATGTCGTTCTAACAATTGCCATGTCTTATTAACAGATGCCATGTCCTATTAACAGTTGCCATGTCTTATAAACAATTGTCGTGTCTTATTAACAGTTGCCATGTCCTATTAACGGTTGCCATGTCTTATTAACAGTTGCCATGTCCTATTAACAGTGGCCATGTCTTGTTAATAGTTGCCATGTCTTATTAGCAATTGCCATGTCTTATTTGCAGTTGCCATGTCCAATTAACATTGGCCATGTCTTATGAACAGTTGCCATGTCATATTAACAGTTGCCATGCATTATAAACAGTTGCCATGTCATATTAACAGTTGCCATGCCTTATTAACAGTTGCCATGTCTTTTTAACAGTTGCCATGCCTTACTAGCAGTTGCAATGTCTTGTTAACAGTAGCCATGTCTAATTAACAGTTGCCATGTCTTATTAACAGTTGCCATGTCTTATTAACAGTCGCCATGTCTTATTAATAGTTGCCATGTCTTATTAACAATTGCCATGTTTTATTAACAGTTGCCATGTCTTGTTAACAGTTGCCATGTATTACTAACAGTTCTAGCAGGGTGGCCAGGTCTTTATAAGCAATTCAACGGGGTAATTTCTGAGACCATTAGAACTCTCTTATCGCCCTTTCATGCACGTTCTGCAAATGTTAACTCTTAACAACATATTTGCTTCCAGCTCTCCATGATCTGACCGCGCTGCACAGTCACACTCATTTACACTCATCCACATGGAGATGCCGGATGTGACTTCATCCCCACACCTCCTCCCCGTACCTCCTCCTCTCCCCTCCCTCCCACCCCCCGTGGCAGGTGTCGCTGATGGGGGGCAGCATAGGGCTAATCAGCACAGAGGGTCACGGCACCACGCTGCACGTCGCTCTGGCCATGCCTGTTGCTGCAGCCACTGCTGCTGTTGCTGTGTATGGCAACTCTACTTCAGCCCGCACGAATGTTCCTGGGCCGGCGACGACTTGTGCTACTTCTTCCTCTACTGCTGCAGCCGATGACACAGCTGTGCCAAGGGTTGTGGAGATGAATAGTGTGAGGGATTGTTTGAAGGAGCTGCTGCAGGGCAAGGCGATTTTGGTGAGATGAAGGACAAAGTCTTTTAAGCCGACCGACTCTAGACCTGAAGAATTATCGTGTTTTTGTAGGGGTTGCTGCAGGATGTTGATTATGCAGGCTAGCCGCAAAATGCTCCTGTATCTCCTTGTCTGTTTTTACTCACCGCACTCCCCACAACTCGCCCTGCCTTCTCCTCACCACCCTCCCACAACCCACCCCGCCCTCTCCTTGTCCCGTGGGTGGACAGCAATGTGCTCAACCTGCTCATACCTCCCACGAAGCTTCCTTTACCTTCCTTCCCTCACACAGCTGAAAGCAAGATCTGTGGTCTTCTCTTCCTATGTGTGTCAGCCCTTCTCCTTCCCCCCCCCAACTCCGCCCCTGCGTTCTCATCCCCACTACACCCACCCTGCATGCGCCTCGTGCCTAGCTGCACCAGGTGGTAGACGGCAACGCTATCAACTGCATGCCATCTCTGCCCTCCATGCTCATCCCCTCTCTCACACCCGTCCGTGTACCCCATGTGCTGTGCAGGTGGTGGACAACAACGCCATCAGCCGGCGGGTGGCATGTCATTCCGTCCTTCCGTTCTCATCCAATTCGGGGCTCTATTGGACCTACCCATGTGCTATGCAGATGGTGGACGACAAATCCATCAACCGGCGACAAGAGCATGGCATCTCCATGCCTCCGTTCTCATCCCCTTTCAACCCCGCTGCATGCCCTTGGCTCTGCCTGTGCAGGTGGTGGATGACAACGCCATGCACCCCTCCATGTATCCTCTCTATCCAGCAGGTAGTGGGCGACAACGGCACCTCCGTCCCTCTGTTCTCACCCCTCTCAACCCCCCTGAACCCCCCACACACAGGTGGTGGACGACAACGTGATCAACCGGCGGGTGGCAGCGAGCACGCTGGCGCAGTACGGGGCGGAGGTGGCGCTGGCAGAGTCGGGCGAGGCGGCGCTGCGCCTGCTGTAGGCAACCCACTCCTTTCGCCTCGTGCTCATGGACCTCCTCATGCCGGGCCTCGACGGCTTCCAGACCACCGCCCGCCTGCGCGCATTTGAGGCCCACACTACCCAAGCAGGGGTGCAAATGGGACAGGGATCTTGGCAGTCGCAGCAACGCATTCATGTGGTGGCCATGCCGGCAGATGTGGTCAGAAGTGTTGTCGCACGTGCCACAGAGGTTGGCATGGATGGTGCAGTGCAGAAGCCACTCGATGAGAGGCTGCTGTTGCAAGTGCTCTCAACACTAAATGGTTGGTAACTCCAATCATGAGTAATTGTATCTGCGTCACTGTCCCTGTTTACTTCTACATGGTATCCGTATATTTATTGTTTGATTTATCCATTATTTGTGCCTCCTTTACATGGAGCGCCTCGGCCACATCTGATGAGCGTCAATTGTCAACGAGTAGGCCCTCATACTGGTGTTGGGGCACCTTGAATGCTCATGGTCCCAATGAGGTCAAACAAATTATCACAACAATAGCAGCAACAACAGCATCAACAACAATAGCAACAATAGCAGCAACAATAGTGTCAGAACATATAGCTTGTGCTTATTGTGTAGGCTATAGTGGGGTAGCCCATAAGGGGTACAACCCAATTAGGGTTAGTACTTGTACTCACTTCATTCATAGTTCAATCATTCTCGTTCTAAGTTTCTCATGGTATCGAGCAGGTTCCCTCGTGGGAACTGTGCCTAGGGCCCACCACATCGATTTTTTTTTTCCTGCCCGGAGCGCGCTCCCCGAGTCGCGCTCCTCTCTCTACCTTCGTCGAGCCGCCCTAGCGGCCTTCCTTGCGGCCCCGCCGCCCTCACTTGCGGCCCCGCCGCCCTCAGTTGCGGCTCCGCCCCCTCTCTTGCGGCCCGTCACCTCCCTCGGTTGCGGCCCCGTCGCCGCCCTCGGTTGCGGCCCCGTCGCCGCCCTCACCTGCGGCCCGTTGCCGCCCTCCCTTGCGGCCCCGCCACCCTCTGTTGCGGCCCCGCAGCCCTCACCTATGGCCCCGTTGCAGCCCTCAGCTGCGGACCCGTCGCCGCCCTCACCTGCGGCCCGTCGCCGCCCTCACATGCGGCCCCAAAGCCGCCCTCAGCTGCGGCCCCGTCGCCGCCCTCGCCTGCGGCCCGTCACCGCCCTAACCTGCGGCCCCGACGCCGCCCTCAACTACGGCCTCGTCACCGCCCTCACCTGCGGCCCGTCACTGCCCTCACCTGCGGCCCCGAAGCCGCCCTCAGCTACGGCCCTGTCGCCGCCCTCACCTGCGGCCCCACCGCCCTCAGTTGCGGCCCCGCCGCCCTCACCTGCGGCCCCGCCGCCTTCAGTTGCGGCCCGTCCCCGCCCTCACCTGCGGCCCGCCGCCCTCACTTGCGGCCCCGCCGCCCTCAGTTGTGGCCCCGCCGCCTTCAACTACTGCAGCGCCGCCCGCCGCCCGAGCCGCCCGCCGCCCGAGCCAGCCGAGCCGCCGACCGCCGCGCCGCCCTGCAGCAGCACAACCAAGCCGCCCAGCAGCAGAGCAGCCGAGCCGCCGAGCCGCCGGGTCGCCCTGCCGCCGAGCCGCCCAGCCGCCGTGCAGCCGAGCCGCCCAGCAGTCGAGCCGCCTTACCGCCTAGCCGCTCTTCCGCCGAGCCGCCCGTGCAGCACTGTCCGGTGAGCACAGCACCTCTGTCACTGCACTGCCCTTTCCCTACTGCTTGCACTGCTGGTCTACTGTTGTCATGGCTACCCCTAGTGTCCTCGCTTTTGACGCTGAGGGTTGAGCCATTGACTTTGAGGTCTGGGTCGACGACCTCCAGCTGTTCTTACAGTGCGATAGGGCACACGGTCTTTCTCTCTTTGACCTCACCTCTGGCGCCTCTCCTGCCCCTGCTGCTGATGCTGACGCTACTGTTCGCTCTCAGTGGGCCACGCGCGATGCTGCTGCACGTCTTGCTGTGCGTCGCCACCTGCCTACCACTGAGCGCGCGCACTTTAGTCAGTACAAGAGTGCTCAGACCTTGTACGACGCTGTAGTTGCGCGCTACTCCTCCCCTGCCATTGCTGCACTGAGCCGTCTCATGCTACCGTACCTCTTCCCTGACCTTACTGCCTTTCCCACTATCGCTGACCTCATTACGCACCTCCGCACTAGTGACACTCGCTACCGCGCTGCGCTTCCTGCTGGCTTCTGCGCCAAGAACCCCCCCCCCCCATGTACATCACTCTCTACTACAAAGTCACTCGCCTCCCTGACTCCCTTCGCGTAGTCAGGGACCACTTCCTCTCAGTCTGTCCCACCACTCTCACTGTTGACCTCCTCGAGAAGTCCCTCCTAGCGGCCGAGAAGAGCATAGTCGCTGTAGGGGCCTCTCGTGGTGACCCGCGCACCCCCATCTTTGAGGGGTGTTCCCCATCCCCCCTTCTGCCCTCTGCTGCCTCTGCTGCTGCGGCTGACCTCCTTGGTCTTGAGTCGGTCGGTGCGGCGTCTGCCCCTAGCGGGAGACCCCGCTCTGGCAAGGGCAAGGGGGGCAGGGGCACTTGAGGGGCGAGCGGGGGCGGTGGAGGTGGAGGTGGAGGCGGCGGGGGGAGTGGGGGTGGCGGTGGGAGTGGTGGTGGGGGTGGAGGTGTCGGTGGCGGCAGTGGAGGCGGAGGTGGCGGCGGCGGTGGCGGTGGGAGCGGAGGTGGCGGAGGTGGCGGCGGTGGAGGAGGCAGCGGAGGCGGCGGTAGTAGCGGAGGCGGCGGTAGTAGCGGAGGCGGCAGAGGCGGCGGAGGCGGCGGGGGTGGCGGTGGAGCTGGTCGCGGGTCTACGCAGAGGAGTGGCTCTGGTGGTGGTCCGCGCCAGCAGCAGCAGCGCGGTAGTGAGACCCCGTCACCTCAGCAGCTCCGTGAGTGGTACACTGCACGCAAGCGGGGTGGGGGTTTTGGTCCATGCACCTACGTCCTGCGCACCGGCGACCGTGCGGGTGAGCAGTGTGGGGGTGCGCACCCCACCCAGCGCTGCTTCGGCCGCCTGACGGACGCGTGGCGTCACCAGTTCCCGGAGGCCACAGAGATCCCTCGCTGGGGCGAGCTGTCTAGGGAGGGCGTTGCCATCTATGATCTTGACTTTGATGCTATCCTTTCTGCCATGTATGCTGTGTCTATTAGTGATGAGGGTGACTGTTACAGGTGTTTCCCGCCCGATCCGGGCATTGAGACTGCTGCTCTAGGTACTGGTGAGGCGGCTGCCCTAGGTGCTTGCGACGCTGCTGCTCTAGGTGCTAGTGCGTCTGCGTTCTCAGGTACTGGGGAGTCAGCGCTCTCAGGTACTACGTCGGCTTCGGCCTCCCTCACCTTCACCCTTGACTCTGGGGCTTCTCGCTCCTTCTTTCGGGACCGCACCACACTCACGCCGCTTAGTCGGCCGGTTGCGGTGTCTCTGGCTGACCCCTCTGGGGGTCCTGTCCTGTCTCACTTCTCCACAGTTCTCCCAAGTCCGGCGGCTCCCTCTGGCACCCTGTCTGGTCTCTACCTCCCCTCGTTCTCTACGAACCTGGTGAGTGGTGCTGACCTACAGGATGGGGGAGTACACCAGTTCACTCCTGCGCGTCAGCAGGTGACGCACTGCACAGAGGCTAGCACAGGCCGACACCTGGCTACGTTTACCCGTCGGCTGGGGTCGAGCCTTTACACAGTGACCACTCCGTCTCCTCCGGTTGTTGAGTCTGGTAGGGTCACTGCGTCGGGTCAGGTGCTTGCTGCAGCGTCCAGGTCTGGTCCTGAGTCTGCCCCCTGTTCGTGTCGTCTCCTGTCTCACGAGACTCTCCTCTCGCACCACCGCCTTGGTCACCCCTCTCTGCTTCGGCTCAGAGGCATGGCCTCCCGTCTTCTTGTTTCTGGTCTCCCTCGGTCCCTCCCTCCCCTTCCTCAGGGCCCTGGCCCTACCTGTGTCCCCTGTGTCGAGGGGCGCCAGCGGGCTGCCCCTCACTCCTCCCAGTTTCCTCCGACAAAGGCCCCGTTGCAGACGCTTCACATGGACGTGTGGGGCCCATCCCGCGTCCGTGGACAGGGTCACGAGCGCTACATCCTGCTTGTTGTTGACGGCTACTCGCGTTGCAACACAGTCTTCCCCTTGCGCAGCAAGGGTGATGTCACTGAGGTGCTGATCGTCTGGATCCGCGCAGCTCGTCTCCAGCTCAGGCAGAGCTTTGGCTCGGACTTTCTTGTTCTGCGTCTGCACTCGGACAGAGGCAGAGAGTTTTCTTCTGGCCTTCTGAGAGCCTACTCTCGTGCACGAGGAATCCGTCAGACCTTCACGCTTCCGGACTCCCCGCAGCAAAATGGGATTGCTGAGCGCCGCATTGGCATGGTCATGGACGTCGCTCGTACGTCTATGATGCATACGGCTGCTCCCCATTTTCTGTGGCCGTTTGCGGTGAGGTACGCGGCGCATCAGATCAACCTAGACCCCAGGGTCTCCAAGCCGGAGACCTCCTCAGCCTTGCTGTGGACGAGGAAGGTTGGCGATGCGTCGGCGTTCCGGGTCTGGGGATCTCGGGCGTTTGTCCGCGACTTGTCTGCGGACAAGCTGTCCCCTCGTGCTGCTCCTTGCGTCTTCCTGGGGTTCCCCCCTGACGCGCCTGGGTGGCAGTTCTACCACCCCACCTCTCGTCGTGTTCTGTCCTCCCAGGACGTCACGTTTGACGAGTCGGTCCCCTACTACCACCTCTTCCCCTACCGCACTCTGTCCCTCCCCCCGCCGCCGCTCTTCCTTGTACCGGGTCCCCCTCCGGTAGACCCCCTCCCCCCCCAGGGTCCGTCCCCTTCAGGTGTGTCCCAAGTAGACGCAGTCGAGCCTGTCGAGGTCACTGGTGACTCTGGTGCTGCTGAGGATGCTGAGCCTGGGGGTGCTGCGACTTGGGGTGCTGAGCCTGAGGGTGCTGAGCCTAGGGATGCTGCGACTGGGGGTGCTGAGCCTGGGGGTGCTGAGCCTGGGGGTGCTGAGCCTGGGGGTGCT